GTTGTCGTTCTCGACTTGATTTTTATTTTATGACCTCATCTCCATAGTTACTATTTGCAAATAGTCAATAATATTCTAGGTCCATTTTATTGCTGTTCTTGCTACGCGCCGTTATAACACATTTTCATCTCATCATTTAATTTCTGTTGTGCATATATTGTTGTATAGAAAATATCTTAAAGTGATTCATCAGGTGGAAAACGAATAGATAGATACATAAACTGACCATGTGGCGCCATCTAGTGTACCTAAATTCATCTAGACATTTTCATAAAAGTGACCCGAAAAACGGGGCTAACTCGGTAACCCGTGGCCCAATTTTAACGAAACTTGTTTTATTCTGTTTCTATTCTCATTTCATTACAAATAAGTCGCTATTGTGTGCCGTTTTTGATGTATTTAATTACAGACAAGCAAACAAACATTCTCAGAGTTTTAGTAGTATATAGATTCCTCGGCTCTGTATACCAAAGTCCTTATAATATTTTGATATAATATCTTTATTATAAAACTATTATCCTTTAAGCATAAACCTAAAAAACCACAGTAAAGTGAGCCGAATTTTCAAAAACAGAGACACCTTTAATCATTAGTACATTTAGCCAATAAAAATATATTTATCAAATAAAGTTTCATAAGCTTTGAAGATTTGTTTTACTGTAGAATTTTTCACCATTTCGAGAAAAGAAACGAACTGTGTTGCAATAGTATGAAAACATATTAAATGTTGCAACTTGTTTGACAATATCAAATCTGCAGCTAGTTCTCCATTTCATAGAAAAAAAAAGCATCATTATCTCTAATATTTTTTAAAGTTTAATATGTAGCTCAGTAAGTGAATACATAAGTTAAATTCGTCTCTTAGATTATCTTCCATCAGTAACAAAAATTTGGTTCCTCCTCTACAAAGTCATTTAAAAATTTTGTCCACCCCGTATCTACTATGTAGTAGGAAAATTTTCCTTCAAAACGTCTCTTTTAGACTCATTAATAATCTCTCGCATGACATTTGCCTCGATACAGACACCCTATTGACAACAGAAGAGCTGCGTTCACTCCTCCTATATCAATCAAGTGGTAGGTAACTTGTCCTTTACATTTCTTTTCTCTCTTTCAAAATGTGCAGCTGACTACTTAGTCGTATAGAAAATCTATCAAGATGCGTTGCTTAGACATATTCCTAAATTTTCAGGAGAAATTTGGCTTGATACTTACACATTACAGTGGTCTAGAGAATTCTCAAAGTTCCCTACCCTTTACAATAGGAAATAAAAACAAGTTTGACATTTTCCAAAAACTTTGTTCCAGACAATGTATAGCTGGATATTTAGACACGAGGGACATCCTTCAAACTACCAAGACCTCTTATTTATACATATTGCTAATTTCTCACATCAAAGTTGCCTGATACTCACACACCCTGGATGACAGGTGAACCCACATTCGCTCCCACCCTTAACAATCAAGCAATAAGAAAATTATACTTTTCACATTTTCCTTCCTTCAAACAAATCATAATTACAATTGTCTGCCCATTTATTAGTTAGTTACTTTGATACAGAAACCTCGAACATTTTAAATCAAGTTACTTTTAGTGCCAAACAAGTACGACCACATCTAACATGTACATTACATTTCTGTAAGAGATGATCCTTTAATTGGGTATTTACCTCATAGGTGTAGCCATACTTGAACATCGTGGACGTTTTCCCATAGTTCTCCCCCTACCTCTGAGGCAACAAACCAATGATTTCTTTCATATCAATTTCTTGAAGCTTTCTTCCCAAATTGAAACCATGATTAACAAAATAATATCGAAACTTATTAATGCCAAACCGTTTAGAAGGTTTCAAATTTCTCTTGGCATAGATACTACGCAATTTAAAACTTCATTACATTTTACTTTATAACTCAAAGAGAAGTTTAGTAATGTATATAATAGGAATATCTTCACACCATTGTCATTAAATTAAAACACCACATTAAATACATCCCTGCAATCATTTTACAAAGCTCCCTCGTGTCTCTCAAAGTAACCCCTAGCATTAGTGCCTAATCAGATCAAGTCAAAAAATTTCTCGCCTTAATACATTGTTCTACTTTCCTACCTTGTTCGAATTATTTGAATATGTCACCATGTACTGATTACAATATTATCAAAAACAACTATAATAACTGGTTTGCGTTTATACATCATTCCACAATGTCACTTCCTTTTCACAATTACACCAACCTTGAATACCTCACACACAAGTTATATTCTGTCCAAGTAATTCTGCTTATTCATAATTAAACCTCTCGCCCTGGGTATCATTTACTGTGCATGACACAAGGTTTTAGTGGCTTACTTTCAAACTTTTATTAAACTAATTTTTATTTATGTTATACCAATAACTATATCTTAACATCTCAGCTAATAATCCATCTTTTAATATTATATACGTCTGAAGTTTTCATTTTTATAAGACAATATTAAAATAAATCCTGCATTTGCCCTATTGTGACACATATAACACATTTTCTCTACGTATCTTATCCCTATCTTATCCACCACCTTCCCAGAAACTACGAAATTAAACGTAAATTATGCACTATAAAGTCATACTTTTTATAGTTTTCAGTATTGTTTGGTTACAGAGCTATCAAATAGAAAATCAGACCCCATCTGTCACATCCTCTCTTTCACAAAACGTTGATAGTTCTCTCTCTTACATTTCATTGTTTATTACCTATAACCAATAGCAAGTCAAGGTTCTCATCTTTCAAATGACTTATTGTATAACGTTGTATTTTAAACACAATATCGCCAATTTCACTCTTAGTACAAGATTCGTTCCCATTAACGACCAACTGGGATGAATTTGTAACGGTTCTTGTCGCATAGTTAGAAAGCCCGGGAAATTTTGAGAAGTAAGATAATTTGTCTCCTTTTTGCATGTTATTAGTCTATATTCTTTGGTGCATCACTTAATTAAATAAAAATTGTTAAGTGCACTACTATAAAAAATCAGACTTAACTGCCCTCGGTTGTCGAGGGCAAGAAAAAAGAAGATTGGGCAAGTACTTTATTTATTGTTTTTCATATTTAATCTCTATATATTATTATAAAAGTAACTAAAATCTGAAAATACGGAACTTTTAAAGTTATTTAAGACTACATTAGGTAAAATAAGTAATAATAAAAATGTAATTAAATGGTTCACGAGGCACGTACGCTAGCAGCGCGTGGGTAATGTAATTCTATAGCCTAACGTTAGCTGCTCGTTCCCCGAATTATTTGCAATTTATAATGACGTGGATAGTAGTTAGACATGATTCAAAGGCCAATAAAATAATAACATTTAATTATAAAGAGATGTATAATGTTACAAAGTTAGAGCTACTTAGGATAAACGAATGTAGTTTCATTTTACAATTTGAAGTCATTTTAGAAGGGAAAAAAGGT